ATAATTTCAAGCCCTTACCCAATCTCTGGTTACTCAAATCAAAACCCTCTTGGTGTCCTAATGCACCTTAATCATTAGGTGGCGACTCTTCAATTCAAACCCAAATTCCCAAAAGAGAATGAGTTGCCCTCCCAAATGTCACAAACCCGATTTTGCGAGAAAAAGGGGGCACGACAGCGTTGCCGCCGAGTTTATCAGCTGTGCCTCTAGTGTTTCATGTGTCCATGCTTCGGAAGTATCACGATGATCCATAGCACGTGTTAGATTTTAGCATTGTCTAGTTGGACAAGGACCTGTCCTATGAGGAGGAGCCGGTAACTATTCTAGACGGGCATGTTCGTCAGTTGAGATCGAAGAGTTTTCCTTCTGTTCGTATTCAGTGGAGAGGTTAGCCTGTTGAGGCAGCGACCTGGGAGCCCGAGTCGATATGCAGAGCCGTTATCCCCATCTTTTCTCCGACTCAGTTACTTCCTTCTTATGTCCATTCGAGGACGAATGACACTCGTTTTAAAAGTAAATTTGATGATCCAAGGCCTTTAATCCCTCTTTTTGTCTCACCTAAATTTGCATGCGTAGTCTAGACGTATTTCCAAAAAGCTTTAATGTGAAAATTAAGTGAAATAAGGAAATTTGCTTTTAAAATTGAATAAAATTGACTTTGATCAACATCCTTGGTAGACGGACCCGGACTCATGATCCGACGGTCTCGTAGGGTCCATAGTAAAATTTGGGACTTGGGCATATGCCCGAAATTGAATTCCGAGGTCCCAAGCCTGAGAAATGAATTTTTAAAGAAAATTATTTCTGGAATATTGAATCTGTAAATTTTGGTAAAGATCGCAATTAGTTTGTATAAAACGGACTTAAAGTTGAGAAATTGGAAATTTTGGTGTTCTTGAATGATTTCATGAAGGGGTTTAATTCATAGTTGTTGATGTTATTTTGATGATTTGAATGCACGAGAAGTCCGTATGATGTTTTTAGGTTAGTATCCATGTTTGATTTGGAGCCCAGAGGGTTCGGGTGAGTTTTGGATAGGCCACAGAGTGAAATTGGACTTAGGATCAAGTGCTGGTGTCACACCTCCTTTTTTCACCTACACCCGTAAAGGGTATAAATATAAGGGAGTTTTTCCAATTTAAGTGACAATCGAAACGGAATTGTTTATTTATTAAAAATCAGACGCCACTTGAGATAATTTATGGTGTCCCAAGTCACCGGTTGAAAATCCCGAATCGAGGAATATGACTCTATTTACGATCTGCGAACACAGAAATCCAGGTAAGGAATTCTGTTAACCCGGGAGAAGGTGTTAGGCATTCCCGAGTTCCGTGGTTCTAGCACGGTCGCTTTGATCATACTTGGCTTACTAAATTGTCCAATTACTCAATTTTAGAACCTTTGTGCTTTTACCTTTTACAGGTTTTAATAAAGAAAAATTATCTTGAAATGAGTCACACATACGTGTACCCACCTGTTTGGCGCGTCAAAAGTCATGTCACGCGAACATGTCCACAACTAATAACATTATTATTAAGAAAATTTAGCCTTAGTTGCGCGAACGCATACTCCGATTTTATTTTTAAGAAATCGTGGCTATGTCACACGAACGTGTACACAATCACGATTATAAATTAAGTCGCGCTTAAAGCATACTATCTATTCAGGGTTGTTCATTTCCTAAATTTGGGATTATTGAAAGGTCATGAATTATATAGTAGTTGTGGAAAAATGTAGTATTTAGTTATAAAAAAAATAATAAACTTTATGGCTCAAACAAAGTCCTTACTCCGTCCAAAATATTGGCAGCCAATTTTCATGTAGAAGAATTAGCCAAAATTCCAAATCCTTCAATGTTAGTTAATTCTTATGTTATCCAAATCATTAGGCGGCCCATGCGTTTAGGCCTAAAAAATTATTTTTTGATCCCTTAAAACCCAAACTTTGTGACCCAATTGCTGACCACACATATTGTAATTTAAACAAATATTCTTATCTCTCAACCGTTAGATATTCAGTAGTAGAATCAACAGAGCAATCAATGTTCATCTAATTAAATCATTAAACTAAAGCAAATAAAATAAATTAATCAAAATAAGACAACAAGATAATAGAGGAAATACGTAGAACATTTAAAAGAAAAACCTACCAAGAAAGCAAATGTAATACATGCTTAAACATGAGGCAAAAATGGACCTTTTTATTATTGGATCTGTAACCTTTGTGCTACGAACAGAGAAACGAACACCAAAATAATAGCAACATTCAAACGAGCCACTGATTGAGACTTTGAACTGGTGACGGAGCCTCAAACAGCAAACTCGCGATAACCTCAAACGGAACCTCAACCACAGACCGCGAAACTCGCCGGAAAAACTCGAATCTGACAATAGCTCGGACGGGGCACTGACTCGACGACCTCAAACGGGACTGGAAACTTCTCACGTTTCTGTCACTGTTTTAGCTGTATTTCCGGCCAGTTATGGTAGCGGCATATGTGAGAGGGTGGAACAGTAGCAGTGTGTGTGTGTTCGCCGGTTTCAGTGGTGGTCGCCGGTGACGTCGTGCGTCTGATTTCAGACGAACAGAGACTGGTTTAAGTTGTTTAGTCGCTGGTTGGTGTTGTCACTTGCCGGTGAGGCAGTAGCGGAATGAGAGGGGTGAGGTGAGTGAGGGTGGTCGTCGATGGAGCTGGTGGACGTTGGTGTTGTCCTTCAGGTTGTTGCATATATATTTCTTCACTAAGGTTCCCATTTAAAAAGGTTGTTTTAACATCCATTTGATGTACGTAAAGATCATAGATAGAGGCCAAGGATAAAAGGACTCTAATCGATGTTATTCTTGCAATAGGAGCATATGTATCAAAATAGTCTATGCCTTCCTTTTGAGTGAAACCTTTTGCAACTAATTTTGCTTTGAAGGTTTGGACAGAACCATATGTATTGTACTTTCTCCTAAAGACCCACTTACAACCTATAGGTTTTGATCCAAGAGGAAGATCAACCAAAACCCAAGTGTTGTTGGATATAATTGAGTCCATTTCATCATTAATGGCCTCTTTCCAAAAAGCA